AAAAAAAAATTTAAAAAAAATTAAAAAAAAAAAAAAGAAAATTTTCCATAAAAATCAAAGTGAACCAAAGTTACACAACATTTAAACACATCAAGACTCTAGTAGGTATCTGCATGTGTATCGTTAATCACTAGAGTATTATTTAATGTAGTCACAAATGATACCACAATTCAAAGGTACTTCTTGTTCAAACACCAGAAACACAGCTCTAGTTTCTTTTTTTTTTTTTGGTGGAACCAGGGATTGAACTCAGGCCCTGTTTGCCAGAGAAGAATTTATTCTACTGAGCCATCTCCCTGGCCCCTTAGTTTTTTTTAATGCTCACTGAAAAGTTCATATACATAGTATTTTTCTACGGAACCTTAAAACTGTAAGTAGCTTTACAGATTACTTAGTTCTCTCTTCCAAACTTTATAAATCAAGAAAATGAGGACAAAGTGTTAACAATTTTCTAATATAAACACAAAATTGTAAGATCTTCACAAACTTTAATAGAGGAATTAACAGCCCCTGCTCAGGTCACCCGAGCTTGGTCCTCATTGTACACTGCAAAAGAAGTTTCATAAAACTGAGTAACACCTTTTACCCCAAATACTTATTCAACATATTTAATCACACATTTTTATATTGCTTCACAAAAGTCAAGCAAAAACCATGCCTACCTGTTGATTTTCAACCTAAAGCTGTAAATAGTATTATAACTTCAACAGACATTCTAGCAGAATGCAGTTTTTCTCTTAGACTTGATCATGCTTTGGTATTTTGCTTTAGTAAGTGGCACTTCCATCAAGTGTATCATATTAGAAGTATGAAAATTTTAGGCCAGTTAACATTCTTTTTCTAATTGTCCTATCCAATTAATGACTACTGCAAATGTTATCTACCTTCTGCTTTTCCACAATCAAGACCCTATAGTCAAACAATTAGGATCCCTGGTTTATAAGAGTAGCACATTGTTCGCCTGTGCCTTTCTTATTCCATCCAAATTTATTGTATGTATAATATGAATAACTTTTTAACAATACATGTAACCACATGCCATTCTCTTGGTTACATCTGTCATGAGTTTCTCACTGCTCAGGGATGGGCAGGTCTTTATCTACCTTTCCAGACTTATTATGTGACCCTAACTCACAAGGGCATTATTCTGGATTACCCCTGTTCCTTGAACATAGTATTTTCTTCGCTTAGAACACTCTCTTATATTATTTTCTTAAAACCTGTTTCTTTCATATTTTAACATTTGTCACAATTATCATTTCATAGTTATTTGGACTGTAATATAGAAAGGCTTAACAAATATATATTGCATGGGATAAAACAATAAAATTATTTACTCCAGAAGGTCTTTAAATTTTTTTTTTACTTTAAAAATTTGGGGAAAAGTCAGGGACTTTTACTTCATTACGATTTTTAACCCCCAAAAGGATTGATTTGTCTAGCTACATGACTTTTCTATCTAAACTTCTGGGACCAATTTATTTTCAGCGAAAAAAATCTTTGAGGTAAAATTTTTATGATACATTTTATACTTTTACTAAAGCAAAGTCTAAAACAGTCATTCAAAGTTCACAAAACTGCCTTTGAATCAAGTTTTTCTGTGCTTGAATTAAACATGTATATTTCACATGTTCCTCAATAAATACACTGCCACTGGAAAAAAATTGTTTCTGTGCAACAATATAAAATCTAAAAATTCAACTAACTATTGTTACAAATTCAGGTTTTTCTCCCCTTAAAATGTAAATCTATGGATTGCAGAGGATTTCCTATGAACTGGACCATATTCTTAGTCGAATTTCTTCTTCCCCCACCCCCGGGTGCAGGGTCTCACTACCCAGCTCAGAATCATGGTGATCCTCCTGTTTTCAGCCTCCCTGCTGGGATTACAGGCATGTGCACCACCCCGGACTCCACTGCTGGCTCAGTACGCCCGGGGGTGGGGCCAGCGCGGCATTCAGGGCCAGGGATCAAATCCTGGTCCCTATGCTTGCCTAAGCAAGAACTGAATCTGCTGAGCTATATCGCTGGCTCTATCTTAGCTCAATTTCTTAAGGACATTTTTTTAAATTTTTTTTTTTTAAACATTTATTTAGTGTGTGTGTGTGTGTGTGTGGCCAGCTCAGCCCACCAGGGGGCGGGGCTGGCTGGCATGTGGTGCTGGGGGATCAAACCGCGGTCCCTGTGCTTTGCCAAGCTTGTTCCAAGTAGGTGCTTTAGACCACTGAGCCATCTCTCCAGCCCCCTTAGCTCAATTTCTTAGAAAAATAAAATTAATAACTTTTCTATGGTATTAATTTTTTATAGTTTCTGTCTTTTATTCATTATAGTCTAGGTCCAAGATTCCAAATTTGGAAATCTATAAGTACTTTGGTAATAGACATAAGTAAAAAGTTACTAATTCTTTATATGAGTATACACACAGAACTAGAACTAGTGCATCTGCAAGTTATTTTTCTTAAGATACATTTACATTTAGCAGAGAAACCGAAATCATCTTATAAAGCATATTGACACTGCAGCCGTATAATCCTTTAAATGAATTAATATATGCTACATGTATCATTACAGAAATAAAAACAAAGATCTCAATTAAACTGATGAAACTCCTTAAAATTGAAACAAAGACAACAATCTACTAATTTTCAGTACTCTAGTCACTATATCAGAACTTACTTTAGAGAAAGTATGTAATTGGTATACCACTAACAGAAAACAAAAAGCAGAGAATAATTCATCTACTTCATTACCCCTTACTCAATGTTTCATATGTCGCTGGTTCAAATCTCTACAAACATAAAGTGACTTACACTTACCTCTATTGAAAGTCATTTTAGATATAAATCTAGAAGAATTACACATTTCTTAAAGCAAAACAGATTACTTAAAAATATCCATCCTCAAGATTTTTTTATACTGGCGATCGAACTCAGGACCTTGCGCTTGCCAGGTAGGCCTTTAAGCTGCTGAACTATCTCCCCAGCCCTCCATTCTCAAGATTAATCCATGTGTTTATCTCTATTTCTTGAATACAGATTTGGAATTATTCTGAACAATAATATATATCTGAACTATGAATATATTTAGTTTCCATATTTAAAACTTACACAATATAGTTCTAAAATTAACACTAAAAAACTAAATAAATAATAATCTTTGTCAATGACTCCTTTAGGTTTCTACATTCTTATGTGGTAACAATTATAGCAAGAGGTACCTCAAAAAATATTTATTTATTTATTTTTGGACACAAAATCTCATTGTGTAGCTCAGGCTGGCCTGGAGTCACTTATGCAGCCCTTGGCATTCCAGGTGCTAATTACAGGTAGGAGGCACCACACTTGACGAAACAGTAGTTCTTTTATATACTGACTCTTGTCAATGCTTTCATCTACCTGAAATTCCCTTTCCATGCTTCTCTGTATGAATATTCCATTTTTAAATTTTAAGCAAGGTCTTCTGTTGTCCAGGCTGGGCTTAAGCTCAAAATCTACATGCCTTAGCCTCTCAGAGCACTCAGATTTCAGGCACCACCACTATGCCTGATGTAGGAGCAATCTTTTCAGTAAAATATTCCCAGATCCTTTCAGAGGCTAGGCCCTTCTACTTTTGGCAGTGCCCTAATAACAAATATTTTTTCTATTTTAATTATTTATGTGTGTGTTTTTCTAGCACTAAGATGGTGAATACTTTAGGATTAGAAATGGTGACTTTTTCATCTTTGTAGTATCTATAATGTTTAGGAAAATATTTGGCATTCTGGTAGATACTCAGTAAATGCCTATTAATGCACTAATGAATACACAGGGAAAGGTATGTCATGCAGAGCTGCCAATCTTCTTTTACGTCATACCTGTGAAGGAGTCATTTGGGTGACTCTCTTTGAGGTACTAAGCGCAAACAGAAATACAAAAAAATCCTGAATGAAAACCAAAATTTATTCTGAAGTAAGACTAAACAAGGAAGTTGGGGAATATAGCTCAGAGGTATAAGCAGCTGCCTGGCAAGTGCAAGGTCCTGAGTTTGACTCCCTGTACAAAAAAAAAAAAAAAGAGTGAGTGTGAGGCTAAAGAAAATATTTGTTCATGTTACCTTTCAAGTATTCATAACTATTGATATTTTTGTTTTACTGTGTGTCAAAAACAATTATATACTTTGAAAAACATCTAAAAAGTTTCTTAACTTTATCATCTTTTATCCCATGTAAGTGTGAGATGTTTTATTCCTGGTCTTTCTGTGGGCCTTAAAGGGAATGACATTCTATCCAAAAATCAAAAACTGCTCATCCGGTTTCCTGCCCAAAAAAAGGATTTTATAAAATATGGTTTCAAATAAGAGCCTCCAAAGGCTTTGGGTTGAAGGTTATAAACTCAACAAGAAAGAACAAAAATTCTAGGTTCTCATAAAGGAACATATGAGTTTTTATTTTGGTTGGCTGCATTACTGTAAAGTTATATATATATTTATTTTTCCTCAGTTAATGCTTTCTCATTCTCAATTTAGAATCTGAACATTTCGGTGATTTAAAATTTCCCAAAATTCCTGCATAGTTTGACATGCATAATACAAAGATATTTATACATGTGCACATAGTAGACAACATCATCTTAGACCTAAGACACTAAAATGTTTCTGGTGTACATCAAGTATTTACAATCTTATTATAATACTCTACCTTAATAATGAAGACATATATAGCAAAATTATGGTATGCTAGAAGCAATGTAAACCTTATAAATTTAATTTTTACCTGGGATTGTTTTTTAATGTATTTACTAAAAATTCATGTAGATCTATGCCAGTTGAATCAGTGTATTCTTGACTGGAATCTAAAAAACAATAACACAAAAACCCAGTATAAAGCTGTTTGAAAACAAATCCCTTTCCCTTTTATACATGATGTATATTTAAAAAAACCAAAAAGCCCCACATTGAAAAAAAACTGACAAAGTAGGAAAGGGGAACTTATGATGAACTCAAATGATGATGAACTTTCTATTCTTATATAATGTGCATGGCTAAGGTTTATATAAGTAAATATACAGTCACATTCTTAATCTCTCGCATCTGTGAGGCTAAAGTACCCTTAATTCTTTAAAGATTCTCTTATATACTCACCATATCTTCGTGTTCAAAAATGTCTCTTTAGATGAAAAATTCAAATGACTTAAGATAATAGTGCAAAACCTCAAAACTGTTAATGAATGATAAACATTCTGCATTGCAAAGCATATTTTTAGTGGACAATAAATACTAGGGCATCTGTACTTTATGTGACTGATAAGGATTAAGTAATAGTTTTAGTTCAGTCAGTCTTCAAATAATGACTGTTGTGTTTCAGTATGAGAGAGACCAGTAACAACAGTTCATGATTATATTCCTTAGTGATTCAGGTTACATCTCAGAATTTTTGGCCAAAGCATTTTACTAACATACAAAACTATTATGTATGAATAAGTATTGTATCATCCTCCAGTATGTTCTTGATTATCTTTAAGAGACCTACTATATGCAGTAATTTGAGACAAAAGGATGGAATTACAGTGAACAAGACTAAATTTTTGTTTAAGAAATAAAAATAAATTGCAAACCTCTTGATAACATTTTTCTGGGCAACTTATCACTGGCTTTTTCTTTTTCTGCTTCATCTTTTGAGGGCTTCTCGTCTTTTTCAAATGATTGTGTTAACTGGATCTGAATTCTTTCCTGTTGGAAGGCAAAATAAGTTATTCAAGGAAAGTATAAATCAAAAAAACAAAAAAAAAAAGAAAGCATAAATCACACATCTATATTTTCTGAGTAACACCAATGTATGGAGTAAGAATAAAAAGATTTTATTTTACCCAGTTATAGTTTCCCAATTAGACAATTCAAAAATATTTTATTAGTTTTATTAAAGTAATGTGAAAAAATATGTTCAAATGATGTTTTCATTTGAATCTATCAATTGAAGTATATACTCAAAATTATTTGAGAAAACAAATGTTTTCTATTATAGGTTAAGTGCATTTGTGAAATACTTGCAGGGTCAGAACTAAAATCTTGGGCTGGGGAGACAGCTCAGTAGAACAGGTCCAGAGTTCAGTCCCCAGTACCACAAAAACAAACAAACAAACAAACAAACAAACAAAAAAACCCCCTAAAATCTTTGTAACTATATTTTTAATGGAGGTGCCAAGCAAAAGCATGGTAACTATCAGTCATAACAATAGGGCAGTACGAAAATCAAGTCAATAATCAATAAAATTTAGTTTGTTTTTTTTTAAAGTAACCACTATAAGAACATCTTTCCTTGCCGAGTATGGTGGCATATGCCTGTAATTCTAGCACTCAGAAGGGTGAGGCAGGAGGATCAGTGAGAGTTCAAGACCAGCCTGGACTAAAGGAAGCTCAAGGCTAGCCTGAACTACATTGCAAGATCCTGTCTCAAAGACAAACAAATTAAACATATTTCCTTTATATGAAAATGTCAACAGAAACATTTAAAAAACCAAAGGCATATGACTTCATTTTTTTAAATTTCAGATTCATGTAACAAAGTTATTTTGAAAGATTTCATACAACACTGTATTCCTTTCAGATATGTAATGTTGAATTTTAAAGCGATCATATTCTGTAAGACTAAAATGGACAACTACTTCATTTAAAAAAAAAATACTACCATATGCAGTTTCAGAACCCAAAAGGATTACTGGATTAAAAGGCAGAAATCATGTTGAGGACAGGATGTAGTGCCACAGGTCTGTAATCCCAGCACTTGGGAGGCTGGGGGAAGTGGCTTACCCTGAGTTTGACGTGAGCCTGGGCTACAGGGTGAGTTCAAACCTGGGCTGATCTGTATACAGAGACTTAGCCTAATAAATAAACAAACAACCCTCCAGCCCTCCCGCCCCAAACAATACACTGAGTTTTATTTACTTATTATTGAGGAACAGTTATAAAAAAAAAAAGTTAGAAATTGTTCCAGATCACTTTTACTAAATATAAAGTATAGCATATTTTTTAACTAAATTACACTGTCATTCTTTAGTGATTAAAAAACTTTAGAAAATAACTTGGCTCTTCTAAATGGTGGTACACTGTGTTAGTATCAGAAGGTATATAAAATTCAGTATCAAGCTTGAAGCTAGCAGAATTTCCACTTATTTTTTGGCCTATAATTAAAAATAACCTTTAGCAGAATTTCAAGTCATTTTTTCTGCAGTAGGATTGTTATCTGCTATTTTAAACTTTTCAATTTTTCTTCCTACTGCATCTCTGTTCAAAGTTTTGCTCAATCTGGGATACACTGTATGTCCTGACAATTGTTATCTTGATGATGAACACTTGAAAGGAGCTTTATGCCTTCTCTGTCTTGTTTACTGAAGACACTGACAACTTCATGACATCCATCAATCAGTAAGTTACACTAACTTATACTCTATTAGCATCACCTTGTTCTTTCATAACTGTAAAACAAATACTTGGAAATGAATCCAGGGACTATTTTTCAGAAGCAGAGTATTTACTTCTGAGCTTCAACTTGGCTTGGTAAAAAACATTTTACCCATTGTGGACCTTCCTTAACAGGTATTTCTAATAGCAGATTTCATTTCTCAGTTCTCCCAAAGCCATACATATTAAATTATAAATAACAATTTATTAAGATGAATTGCATTTTAAAAACCTAGTTAATTATACTGGGATGTTGCATTCAGTTGACCTTGTTTTCAACAGTGAAAAACAAAACATTTTAAAATGCTAAAATCTTTACCCATAAACTCTTTTTTTTTTTTTTTTTTTTTTTTTGTGGAACTGAGGATTGAACTCAGGCCCTGTGCTTGCCAGGCACGTGCTTATTCTACTGAGCCATCTCCCTGTCCCCTCCATAAATTCTTCAGACTACAAATAACGGGAACATCTCCACAGGAAGCTATAATTCCTTTACTCCTTACTGTCACTTTTATCTGTTACTGAGGTCCTTTTTCTCTCATAAACCTTCATTCAATACAAGTGATAACTCTTTTAATGTCACTCAAAAAATTCTCTCAACTTTTTTTTATAATGAATTTTACTTCACATTAATTCCATATAAGTCAGATTCTGAATCAAGCAAATTAGATGGGAAGTGTCTCTATCATCAAAGATTAGATAATCACACATTTTATTTATGTTTCAATTTCCATTCAGGTGTAATTTAGTACACTTATGGCTTGGAAGTTATCTACTTCTACTAAAAGAAGTTATCTTGGGCCAGGGTGACAGCTCAGTAGAATAAGCGCCTGCCTGGCAAACGCAGGATCCTGAGTTCAATTCCTGGTATTAAAAAAAAAAAAGAAAGAGAAGAACTTATCTTTTATTCAAAGAGGTAATAATAAATTATCCGGAAATAAAAGTTAATTTATCCAAGAGAAACTGAGACACAATGTATTAAGAAGAGTAAATGAATTCTGACATAACCACTTTATCCATTATCCATAATGATGGAACTTATCTTTTTGAATTGTAAAATTCAAAAACTTCTGAGACCAATGATGTATACAACTATAAAATACATTCCTTATATTTTTTTTCTCAGATGGATTTTTACTAGCTGAATTTATAAGTTTCCCCAATATTTTTCACAAATGATAAAATACATTAAGAAAAGAATTCATGATATAACTTTTCTAAAAATTATGTACTTTTCCTGTGTTAACACACATAAGAATGCCCATTTCCTCTTTCTTTTCATTATTAGGCCATGATGCTAAGATGGTACAGTATAATGTTTTGGTTAACAAAGAAACAAATTTTTTAAAAAAGAAATCACCTTTCAAAAAAACTACAGAACACTATGCTGTATACTGCTCTAACATAAACAGGCATATTTTTTACTAACTTGTACAAAAGAAATTTTAAACTGGATATTTTCTGAGCATATAATTCTTAAGGCTTATCAACAGCTGAAGTTTGACATCTGAAAATGTTTTCTGAGCAATAGTACTGTACTTAATAATAGTATCATTCTTGTCTTTTGCTAGAATCTTTGCTATTTTATCCCTGAAATATATTTTATCAAGTAAATAATACAGCTATCTCCCATGCAGCTATGTTTTTAAAGAACCACAAATGAATTCTGAATTCTCTATTTTGACATTTAAATGTCAAAGAAATAGGTTTCTAAGCACTTTTCATCAACAAAATATAACGCACATATTTTAAAACTTTGTCTTAGCATCTCAGAAATAGAGTAGAGGACTTTCTAAGAGCAGGAAATACTCTAAATACATGTCCACTATCTTTAGTATTTGTAGTAGACCTTTTGAGAGTAATCATCTAAATCCAGGGAAAATTTTGCTTGAAACATAAAATCTACAGTATTTTTAAAAAGATGTGCAACTTGTAAACAAACCAAACAAAAAATAGCATAGCTTCTTAAATAATTATCATGCTATTAAACTTTTTTTAAAAAAGTCTAAAAACATTTCTGCACAAAAGTCCACATCATGTAAGACAAAAAGAGATCGATCACTTTATAGCTGCGGTTAATACAAAGTGAAGTTATAGCATTAACAAGGATAGATGAGGCAAATTAACTGTTTGCTTGAATCTCATTGCTCTATATTTAAAAAAAAAATAGACCAAAAATTAAAGGTACTAGACAACTATTAAAGACCCACACTAAAATAAAAAATGGGCTTCACTATGCACTCAGGTTAAGTACAGTAATATATCAAGCGGGAATCTGAAGCAGTGCCTTTTATATATAAGCAGTAAGTGTCTGGTAAATGTCTATAACACAAAGCTAAGGGTAAATTTCATCATAACTACATTCACTGGAATTATTTTAATATTTAGTAACTTTTCAGTAATAATTTATAATTTTGTTAAAGCTGCATTTCCAATTAATTACATGATCATAAAGACTTTCCAAAACAGAAATCAAAGCTTTAAACCTTAGAAAGAAGCAGTTTTTAAACTTTTCACTGGTGTCAAGTATTATCAAATCAGTTTCATTTATAAAAGTAAAAGGTAGGTACACACAGTCTCAACTTTTATTTAACCATATGAAAAGATTTCTCCAATCCTACCATGTCTTCAAAAAAGATTTGTTTTGATTTCTTTTTTTGTTTTTCTTTTCTTTTCTTTTTTTACCTGGTTCTCCTGTGATATCTCTGCTGCAGGGGGTGGTGGAGATTCTTCACATACTGCAAGGCTCCGAACTAGCTTTAACTTTGAGCTTGACTAGAGAAAAGTATTTATAATTAACACTACATTTTTAATAATTCTAGGGTATATCCAAAAGCCCCCTGGAGAGTTTCTAAATTTCTTTATAAATTTCTGCTATGTATAAAGGTAGATGAAATATACAAGTTAACCCTTTGTTAAGAGGGAAAACAAATTGCAGCTTTGGAAAATTATAGCAACAGCAAGAATAAGAATAATTCCAACTCTAAAACCCAAAGAATGGTGAAAAGCAATTTTCTTTACAGATTAAAAACCCATCAAAGATAAAAAAGCAATGCACAAAAGCGACTAGGCAAGACAAAAATCCCAAAATAAAAAAAAAAAAAGCTTTTTGCCCCAAACAAAATATGAAAAAACTAAACTGAATGTAGTGCTATATGAAAACAAGGATTCATCAAGCATGAAGGAGGCCGTTGGCATGCCAGCACACCAAAATATTTACTATACCTTAGACCTTTTTCCTGTCTGTCCAAATGACTGCAGTGGCCGCTGAACACACAACAAGAAAGATTGATATTAAATTTCATACTGAGACAGAAGACTTGCTTCTCAAGCCTAAACTATGGAAAAAACTATTCACAAAGTAGGCCAAACGAGGAAATCAAAGTTGGTTTCAGAGAAAGAGTACTGATTGATTCCTCCCAGAAGCATACTTGTAGACGACTCTGTAAAGTCCTTCCGTGGGTTGGTTTTTTAAAGTCAGCAAACTGTGTTTTAACTGAACTCAATGGAACTTACAGGGTAACTTTAAAAAAAAATTTTTTTCATATTCGAAAATTAAAAAAAACCTTTCAGTGATCCTCCTGTCTCAGCCTCCCCAGTGCTGGGATTATAGGTGTTTTGGTATGGCATGATGCCCAGGGTTCCAGGGCAGGCACAGCACGTGGTCCTGGGGATCAAACCTGGGTCCTTGTCCTTGCCAGGTAGGCATTTAGACCACCAAGCTATCTCCCCAGCCCAGGGTAACTTCTTTTTTTTTTTAAAGATTTATTTTTTTTAAATTTTATTTATTTGTGTGTGTGTGTGTGTGTGTGTGTGTGGCCAGCTCAGCCCACAGGGGGCGGGGCTGGCTGGCATGTGGTGCTGGGGGATTGAACTGCGGTCCCTGTGCTTTGCTGAGCTTGTTCTAAGTAGGTGCTTTAGACCACTGAGCCATCTCACCAGCCCCCCAGGGTAACTTCTTAACAGCAAAATAAAATACACTTTATTTCTTTACTATTTTATAATATATCATACTTTAGCTAAGATTAAAGGGGCAGGGAACCACATAAAACTCATCAATTTAAAGTTGTTGAAAAAAAGTTGCTGAGCTCAAAAAAGTTTCAAACTTACGGAGATTGTTTCAAATGCACAAAGAGAATTCAACCATACATACTGAAGTTTCTTGTACTGTATGAAGTACACCACTGGTTTATTAGTGACAGAAAACTACTTGTTGAAGTCTGGGGTAAGGCAACTGCAAATGAAGGAGAGGGCACACTTCCAGTTTGGATGGCTAATATGCTGGATCTATCATACAACTAAGGAAACCATGGAGGCAAGTAGCTTTCCAGCTTAATATCAGGCTTTGGTCTGGGGAACCAGTCAAAGTGCCTGTGAATTAGAACCAGGTAAGATTTCACATACTCTTATCTCCTTCCAGTCTACCATGCCAAACCCAAATAGAGGAGGGTCCAGGCAGCTAACCTTTCCTTTGTTTTCACTGACATCAGGAGTTGATTTGATACCAATACAAAACAGATACAAATTTTTAATACTCAGATTAGGTTTTGCACATAAATGAAAAAAAAGTATTACTTCACTGTATCATCTAGAAAAGACTTTACTTTTGTAGAGCCAATAGAAAGGAAATGCTAGAAGAATATATACAGTGTATTATTTGTTGAAAAAAAAATAAAAATAAATAAAAATAAAAAAAAAAGAAAGGAAATGCTATAGTACAATGATGTTATGCTCTTATTTAAGAGTTCAAAGATCTTTAAAGATAAGACACATGTTAGGATTTTTACCATGGATCACCAAATCAACAATGACGAAAGGAAAACAGGAGAAAGAAAAATGACTTTCTTATAGAAGAAATGGTACACATGCACAGCACATGTACATATGTGTGCACAGGTACACAGGGCTGTGTATTGCATGTTGGTCCTGCCTTTTGTTTCTACTTGGTGTGTAACTTTTTGAAGAGGATTTCTTTCTTTTGTTTTTTAAACGTATTCAGTACAGGGTCTACAGGGTCTCACTATGTAGACTGGACTCATAGTGATTCTCCTATTTTCACCCTCCCAAGTGCTGGGATTATAGGCGGGTGCCACCACGCCCAGTCTCAATCACTGGCTCAGTGCGCCTCAGAGGCTGGGTCAGCATGGCATGCTGGGGACTGAACCCTGGACGTGGCATTCTGCCTACGCAGGCACTTTAGTCCACTGAGCTCTCTGGTCGGTCCTTTGAAGAGGAATTCTAACTGTGTGTAAATCACATTTAAAAACAGAAGTAAAAGAAGTTACACTACAAAAAAAAAAAAAAAAAAAAAAAAAAAAAAGAAGAAAAAAAAAAAAATAATACTATTAAAATGTACATGCAGATGAATTCCAAGGAAGCAGAAACAATTTCTGACTTACTTTTGACCTCTGCTTTCATCTCTTACAATTTTAAGAATCAATTGTGTAAAACCTATTAAACAGGTCTAAAATAAAAGAACTGGCAAAACATTACACTCAGAAAAGGTGGACTTAAAATTTTTGACTGTGTATTATTAGGCAATTCCTATCAAATTATTTGTTTTCTCTTATCTATAAAATTTGATACTATTTGTACAGGGTTCTTGAAATGACTCAATGAATGAAATGGGTGGATTATGTAAAAAAAAAAAAAAAAAAGGAGTCTTCATAAACCGTAGAAAATCAGTGTCCTATTGCTGGGTTACTAGCAATGAAAACTAAAGATAAATTAGTTAATACATCAGAGGGTAATTTTTAATAATCTGCATAATGAAGATGGTGCTGTATATATGGTTCCTACAAAATATTTCAGAATGTTTATAAATATACACATGCATTAACTGGGTTATAATTTACAAATAGCCTTTGGTGAAGGATAAAGATGAGCAAAAAAAAAAAAGAAAGAAAGAAAGATGAGCAAAGAGATGTAGAATCATCTTAATTTGACTTTAATGTTTTGAGTTACTACTATACAATACACACTTTGCTAAGCACGAGGGATATGAAGAATGAATAAGACATACATAGTTCCTGGCCTCAAAGACTTCAAAGTATAGAATTAAAGCTTGTAAACAGTGAAACAATAGTCAAGAACTCAGACTGTTGGCGCACTGTACATTACATGACACTAAAAAATTTTTTTTTATGTGTTTGGTACAGGGTCTCACTACACAGCTTGGACTCATAGTGATTCTCCTGTTTTCAGCCTCCCCAGCGCTGGGATTACACGCATACGCCACTATACTCGGTCTCAGAGGCTGGCTCAGCACATCCAGGGGCAGGGCTGGTGCAGCATGTGGTACCGAACTTAGTTTGCTGAGCTATCTCGCCAGTCCTTAAAAACTTTTTATTTTTTTTAACTTTTACTAAAAACTTTTACTATAGACAGATTTCTAAAGATAGCTTTAAAAACTCCCGACCTCTTGCTATTTAATCAAATGCTAAGTATTACTGTGTATTCCCTGGCATTTTTACAGAACTAACTCTGCCCAAATAAACTGACTACAGATAGAAATTTCATACTTGGATGGGTCTGACCTAGTCAGGTGAGCCCTTTAGAGGCTGAACATTTTCTCTAGTTGGGAGTGAAAAGGCAGGTCAGATCAAAAGATTAACATTGGCTCTGAAAACAGGCTTCTGCAGGTCTCTGCTTCTAAGCCTTCAGAAGCAGAGAGCTGGTCATCTAGTTTGAAACATGGAACTAAGACCAATAGCTACAAGAAACAGAGTTCTTCAAAACAACCAGAATCAGCTTTAAAGCAAGTTCTTCCCCAGATTCTTCAGAAAAAGGCTCAGTCTGTCTAATAGCTTTGATTTGGCCTTAGAAACCCTAAGCAGAGAACATAGCTGACTCCATTGTGAACCAATAAAACAGGTGTTATTTTCATCTTCCAAATTGATGGTAATTTGTAACACAGCAAGAGAAAATATATGACTATGTAAGTAAACCATAAACTGCTGATGTGGCATTCCTACTGTATGCAGTAGGATTAATAGAATTACTTATTATTTCCTTTCAAATAGCGACGAACAGAATTCACATAATATATTCTAGAAAAAAATACACATCTGAAAATCTGCCATACACATATGCAGAAGCAACAACAAACCACAGAAAAACAAGTTCTATTTATCAAATTATCTTTTATTACATATTTTGTTACCAGTTTAATAACCAGAATTGGATTTAAAATAGGAATTCTCCACTTTAACATTCAAATATATTAAAGATGGATTTTATTTGGGGTATACTTTTCACCTTTTACAGAATTTCAAGGCAGTAAAAATCTAGTGGCCAGGGGAGATAGCTCAGTGGAATAAGCGCTTCCCTGGCACGCACAAGTACCTGAGTTCAATCCCCAGTTCCGCCAAAAAAAAAAAAAAAAAAAAAAAAAATTGAAGTTATAAAATCTAGTGGCCATTTAACAGCCTTTAGTAGTGGGAATGCTAATTAAAAGACAATTTAAAACAGACAAAATCCCAAATTTATAACTGACATTGTTCTATAATGATGTACAGGACAACTACGGCATTAAAGAGGTGCAGAACATGAAACATGTTTAATAGAAAACCAGTTTAAAAGAACACAAATGGGGCCAGGGAGATGGCTCAGTAGAATTAAGTGCTTGCCTGGCAAGCACAAGGGCCTGAGTTCAATCCCTGGTTCTGCCAAAATAAATAAATAAAAATAAATGAACACGCAGAACCACAGCAACTGAAGTTTGGTGAAAAACTACGATCAGAGTAACCATCATGGCTTATACCATGTGGTAATGTACAAACAACTGCAATCAAATATCCCTCAACTACAACGGAATAGGACTTATTTAAAAGAAGCAAGTTATTTTTCATTCTCAATTAATAATTATGAAAAAAATAAACTGAAGCCTTTCAACTTGCATTTTGTACACCATAAAGTGCTTACTAATTATCAATATGTTCTATTAAGGATTGATGGTAACGATACGGACGATTATAAGGAGTTAAATGCCCAGCTAAAGGTCACGTGCAATAGAAACAATAAATTCCAGGCTGCTAGTTTCTAATAAAATAACAAAACTAAGTTTCTGATTCAAAAAAGCCAATTAAGAAAACCCCAAAAAACAAAAACAAAAAAATCCCAAAACTTTCCTCATGATAGCCTGCCCTGTATTCTCCAAGGTGTATTTTTCTTTCTTTCTCCTCTTTTCCTTGGCCCAAGCTTGCTCTGCAAAGCCACTTTATCCCAAGACTTTTACTTCTTTCCTTGTCTTTTTGAGAAAGGCTTTCACAATGCAGTTTAGGCTCACCTTGAGCTTACTTTGTAGCCCAGCCTAGTCTCAAATTCACAATGATCCTTCCATCTCAGCCTCCCTGAGATTAAAGGTGTGTGCCACCATGCCTAAATTTGATTCTAGTTTTTCCAATGAAAGGTGGTTGCCAATTAAAAAAACCAAAGTCCCAAACTAAGCACAATCACTAGTTCAGTGATGGCAAACCTTTTAGAGACAAGGGTCCAAAGTGAAACTCAAAACCAACTTGTTTATTGCCAATTGTCAACAGTGCAATTAAACTCAAACACAGAGGTTCTGCTTTAGAAAATGCAAATCATATATTATTACGTTTTGTCTTAAGAGAAAAACAACATACATACTATAGGTTCACTACCACTGCGCTAGTTTGTTTTTACCACCTTAACTCTATGGGCCATAGATAGTTTCAAAATCCAAAGATCTAGGTATTAGGCCCTCAAAAAAAAAAAAATTTATAGACCCTTTAGTTTCCCATTTTATTGGTGATATACATGAAAATCATCAAAGTAAAAATAGGTAACAGTATTTCCATGTCCTCACAACATATGAACATCTTTATATATGTCAGTAAAGCTATCAAATATGCAAGCAACAAATTTAATAGAAAGTACCAATCTTAGAGATATTTTTAAAAATAGAAGTGCACTATGGGAACTGAATTCTAAGTTTTAGAAAATTGAACTCATTAAATATTAACGCAAGACAAAAAGACAACATATAAATAGGAATAACAAGCTTGAATAACTACATTGAAATTTTAGAGTTTAGGTTAAAAAAATACTTTTGTTAGGCTCTATGTACTACATATATCCTTTAAATCTTTTGAATCCTTTAAATCTTTGTGTAACAAATAGGAAAATTATATGAATGATTTCATATAAAGAGGCTTTAATCCTTTAAAAAGAAACATCTTAACATGTTTCTTTCATCAGTCAAGGCATTTATTGCTCATTCCACCTCACTCATTGTTGAAGTATGTGTTCTTGTGTCCTGAGTTTTTCTGACAGCCTAATAAGATCGGTACTGGTATAGGTTTCTTACCTCTTCATCTTGCTCTCCATCCCCATTTAAAGAAATGTATTAAAAGTTAATTTGGTGGATATAAGATGTAAGACTGTCGTCTAAATTATCAAAGGGTTTGCTAGAGAAACAGAATAAACATCAACTTTAACTGATTCATATACATTAGGAACTACTGATGTATTCTGCCGACTAAGGCCCAGTAGTTAAGGAAAATTAGTCCTATTTCCTTTACAGCCAAGGTCACAACAAACACTATTTGGATTGCTCATTCCTTTGGTAACATACAGTTGTGGGGGGCATGGCCTGCACTATTCCAATATATGTTTGAGGTTGTATACATATACAATCTTTAATAAGTACTTAGTGATACCAAAGTAAGATGAAATATTAAGTAGTATGTTAGAACAGCTATCTTCACATTAAGCTTAAAAGGTAACACTATAACAACCAGACTTTTAAACAAAACACTCTTCTTTGCTAATGTATAACCTATGTATTATATACAATACATTGATTTTTATATTATTTTATTTTATTTATTTTTATATCTTAGTGCAGGGTCCATAGGGTCTCACTATAGATCGGCCTTACAGTGATCCGCCTACATTCAGCCTCTCAAGAGCTGGGATTATAGGCAAGTGCCACCACGCTCAGTCTCAATCGCCATCTCAGCGTGCCCTGAGGGCGGTTCTGGTACAGCATGTCTGCGGAGCCCCAGCCGATGCGTCTGCCTAAGAAGGCGCTTTAGTCCGCTGAGCTATTTGGGTGGCCCTTTACATTATTTTAAATGAAAACATAGAAGTTACTTTCAAGTTTTATTGACTTCCACTCTCAATTTCTATTACCTAAGTGTTTTCTGCGTAAATTACTATGTCTATAATCAGCCTTCTGGCATACCTGCTTGATGGAGGCATCTCAGACCTGAAAAGCTCAAATTAATATTCTTATAGCTAAAAAAATGAATATATCATTCTAACAAAAACTAAATCATAGTATATATTTTTTTTTCTCCCCAATCTTTAGATGCTACAGGTTTTTAACAAACACTTGCTTCATATGCACCAAGCCCTGGGAACAACCTCTGCACTGAAAAAAAAAAAAGTTTTGATAATGTGTGACATTTTCCCATAGTACAAACAATGATGGTGTGATAAATACAGCAATCAGTCACCAGAATATAAGGACTTATTGCTATGGACTACAGAACAAGAGGACAGGGAAGAGAATAATAAAAGTTAATCATTTATTGATAAGCATGACCTAGGTAAATGTACATTAGATGCAGAAAAGAGACTAAAATAAAATATTTTATTCTTTAAGTCAAAAATGCAATAGAATTTTACAGGTTTCTTTAATGCAGACAGGAGATCTGGCACATTGCTATCACTGAGTACTGATTATAGCCATGGAAATTCTGTCATGTCTTAAAAAGTGCTATTACAGAAATGACTGAAAAAATGTGCTATTTCTCCTAACTTTTTAAATAATTACCACTTTACTCAGTGGGGTCTAAATGCTTTTTTAAAAAAATATAGCTAAAGGCATCACTATCACTATCTATTTTATGGCACCAGGAACATACAGCATAAGCAAGGTTTATGAAGCAATGAAGGAAGGATAGATGTTTCTAGATCCAGCTGAATCCACCCATTTGAAGCAAGGTGCCAGGAACGTGAGGAAAGCTGGATCTTTCAGCCCAGTGTACCAGCCAGTTAAATACCAGCATACGATAGCTTTGGATACCTTATAGAATAGAAAATTCACTTAGCCATATTGTCTTACATTTCCTGATCCACAAATAATTTTTTAAAAAGTGCTTTAGATGGCTGGGGAGATAGCTCAGCAGTATAAATGCTTGCCTGGCAAGCAAAAGGTCTTGAGTTTGATCCCCATTACAAAAAAACAAAACAAAAACAAAAAAGAAGAAAAAACAGTGCTTTAAAATTGTTATGCTTTCATTTTGAGATAATAACTAGACTTACAGAAGACAAGATGACTACTTAAAATCCTTTTTACTTAACTTGAATCTATTGGTCAATTTAATTTCCATCTATGTTTGAAATTAAAATCTTCATTGGTTAGTTTCAAGTCATCATATATGCAACCCATCACATCAAACGACATTTCCCCAACAACCTCTCTACTCAATTATGGCTCACTGACTGAGAAGATCCCCAGAGGGCAATTTTTATCCATAGATCTTTTGCAGGTTCAGTCTCTTTCCTCTAAGAGTTCTTAGATCAAATTCTTAACTTTCACAACAGTGGTAGTTAGGAGGAAGGTGGAATGAAAAAGTAGCAAGCCAATAAAAACAACAACAAAAACAAAAAAACAAAAAAAGGAACTATATTATATGACATAGGCAATCACTTGCTAATATTCTGCAAATTAATCCAGATGACTTGAAAGACTAGCGGGGTAAACATGTCCCGAATATTGTTAACTTTGTAGAATTTAGAAAATGACTTTTATATAAAAAGTAACATAACAGTACATTACATATTGGGTACTTGTAGGGAAACTTCTGTTTACCTGCAAATCAATATTGTTGTCAATATATCGTTCATTTGTCTCTGCCAAAATCTTCCCATAGTTTTCTGATTTGATAAGGTTTTCAACTGTGGTTGTATCTTTCATTTCTGCCTCCAAATCCTTCATTGTTTCAGTTTCATCTTTTATAGCAATAGTATCAGACATCCTCATTAGCAAAGGTTACTTCAGAATTCTACAAGGAACCTGAAGCCTTAGCAAGAAATAAAGGAAATTTTAGTTCACATTGAAACATTTTTACATTCAGTTACTTGTACAATACTAACTCTGTACCTTCTACATAGAGAATAATGTTGAAGGAATGAAACAAAATTCCAGCTTTCAAGGACTACAAGCTTTTATGGTAGATAGATACACTTTAAAAAAACCAACCCAATACAGTGAGATAAGAGCCTTAATAAAAATACAAAGATTTTGACGGATGGATTATTTGTGAAGTTTTAAGAAATGGGCCAAGGGCCTGCCAGATAGCTCAGGGGATTAAAGGATCTGCTTAGGCAGATGCAGGGACTGGGATTCGATCCCCTGTATGGAATCGATCCCCTGTATGCCGTGCTGGCACTGTCCCCGGGTACACTGAGATGGAGATTGAGACTGGGCGTGGGGCAGCATGCCTGTAATCCCAGTGCTTGGGAGGCTGAAAGCAGGAGGGACACTACAAGTCCCATCTGTGTAGTGAGACCCTCCTATAAAAATTAAACCAAGTCTGATAAAAACATTAACAGAATTGAAGTGTGATTATACAGAGTATTCACTATAAATATCTTCCAACTTTTCTATAGTTTTGAAATTTTTCATAATTAAGTCTTTAGGAGAATTTATATTGGGGTACTGGTAATCAAATTCAGGACTTCTCACTTGATAGGCAGGCATTGTAGGATTATCATGAGTTCAAGGCCAGCCTAGGATACAAAGTGAGTTCAAGGCCTACCTGAACTACATAGGGAGGTTGCTGAAAATACTCCGGGGCTCCTTGTACTTTATATGTAAGATTTTAATTTAATTTTGTTATTGTTGTTTTTTGAGAAAGGGTCTTCCTATGTAGTTCAAGCTAACTCTAAACTGTGTAATATGGGATAGCCTTGAACTCACAATAATCTTCCTGCCTCAGTCTCCTGAGTACTGGGATTATAGGCACGCACTACCACATCCGGATATTATATAATATTACAGAAGGGAATGTAATTTTCTGAGGGATAGGAGACTATTACCTGATGTGTCCTTTTGATTTGGGACTGTGGTGTTCCACAAAAATAAAATAAAATAACCCAAGGTTCCTTTCCACAGCTGTCAGCCAGGATGTCAATTGTATTGAACCATTTGTAATCTGGCAGGAGTAGTCCCATGTCCTTGTCACCACTGTAGATTCCTGGACTGAAATGAACTGTCTTTGACCAAATATATCATATTTTTCAGTGGCCTAAAATTAAAACAGAAGACATTTTAACAAAATAGGTAAAAAAATGGAGCAATCCATAGTAATTTAGAAATAAAAAATACTGTCCATGATTTTATTTTCTTTTTCTAAATAAGTCATATACTTATTTACAAATAATTCTGACACCATGTTAATTGTATGAACTAAGGAAGTCACTGACAGTGGATCAGTGAAGGCAGAAGAGAGAAAAGAGAACTAAGAAATGAGAACCTGCCATGTAGTCAGTATTTAAGGGATACAGCAGCTCCAGTTCAGACGAGGAAAAAAAGCCAAAACAAAACAATCAGGAACACTTTAACTCTGAGAACTATAATTTTTAGTTTTTTCTCCTCAGAACTGTAACTATGGACTTAAGACTGAAATTGTGAATAAAATCACACTCTTGAGTTTTAAAAATGCTAAAGAACAAAAGCCTATAATAAGCCATTTAGCATTTTCAAAGAAAACCATACAATCTTTTAAAAGAAAAATGCTTATAAAGAATAAAATTAATGGGGCTGGTGAGATGGCTCAGTGGTCTAAAGCACCTACTTAGAACAAGCTTAGCAAAGCACATGGACAACGGTTCAATCCCCCAGCACCACATGCCAGCCAGCCCTGCCCACAGGCAGGCTGAGCTGGCCACACACACACACACACACACACACACACACACAAATAAATAAAATAAATTTTAAAAAAAGAATAAAATTACTTTCTTGTATTTATTCTGTTTTGGTGCAAGGTGAATCAATGAAGGTTCTCTAACATGTGTGACATGCAAGTCACTAGCAGTGGGATGACTATTTTTAATGACATCTGAAAAATCAACACCAAATTTTTTTTCATGTCATATTTTTAAAGTCACTTTCAGTTTGTATTTATTTGGTGCATGTAAGAAGCTCACAGCAAGCAAACAACTTCAAAAGACCAAGTCTTCCATCTTCCTTTGACAACTTTGTTAATATACAGAATAACACAATTTAAGGTGAACAAACTGAGAATAATGACAATTTAAGTACCAAGAGATCTAATATTATTACAGTCATAAATACTGAGGGCTGGGGAGATGGCTCAGTAGAATAACGCTTCCCTGGCAAGCACAAGGGTCTGAGTTCAATCCCCAGATTCTGCATAAATCCATCCATCCATCCATCCATCCATCCATCCATCCATCCATCCATCCATTCATCAGGGAATAGCTACATCTTATACCTACCTTAAAAATCTATTCTGAAATATAATCACTTAAAACCCCAATACACCTTCACATTAGTCTTCATGTCCTGATTTCCTTAATTTTATTAAGGGATTAAAAACACTATCACTAATAAATGTCTACATTTAAAAAAAATGACATTGTGTCATCTCTGAGTAAGCTTTCTTAGCTTCTAAAACAAATTATTATTTTCTTAAAATTCTACCAAAGTCAAACCAGAACAGAAAAAAAATCCTACATCTCTTCTCTCATAAGAGCAGACACAAGATGGCAGCACTCAGTAAATTCTTAATTTTAAAGTGATTATGACTTAATTATAAACCTTTACAACTGAAATTTCTTTCTCTTTTGTTTTGTTTTTGAGACAAGGACTCCCAGTGTGGTTCAGGCTGGTCCTGAACTCATTATATAGCTTAAGCTGCCTTCCCACTGCCACTGATCCTCCATCCTCAGCCTCCTGAGTGCTGGGATTCCAGGTATGAACCATCATGCCTGGCTAACATTTGAAATTCTTTAAAAGAAAGGTTCCAATTCATACAAGAAATAATGTAAGAGGATGGGGTGGGGAAACTACACAATAAGCAAATAGCTGCAGGGGGAATGAGAAAGGAAAATAACAAAGTGATGAACACTTTACAAGATCTTCTGAGGATCCCGTCTCATGGTCTTAAGAAACCCTAAAGAATCTCAGATATTAGTTAATCCAAAATTTTGGCATTTAAGCTACCAGAATCCAGAAGTCAAATGATTTGTTTAAGATCACCATCAGTATCTGTGACTATTAGTTGCTAACATGAATTACAACTTGACAATAAACTATAATATGATTCAGAATTAAAATGACCACAGACAATGTTGGGGAAGAAGGCAATGGCATAATAAAGAAAGAGCAAAGGGGCCGGGGAGATGGCTCAGTAGAATAAGCGCTTGCCTGGCAAGAGCAAGGCTCTGAGTTCAATCCCGGTTCTGCCAAAAAACAAACAAACAAACAAACAAAAAGAATGCTGAAAGAGCAACGCCACCACTGCCAATTATAATTTTGGTAAATTAATCTGTAAGCTGCAGTGTTTGGACCTGCCAAATGGGAAGAATATTTGGATCATAGGTTTACTGTGAGGACTGACTAGTTTAAATTTAAGGCCCCCCACTAGGGCCACACCCCAAAAATGTTAGGTTTCTTCCATGGTCAAAATTAATATAGGCATGAAGTTGGCAGAAGCTGAATTTATTGTGTTGTGGCTTTGTACCTGGCACAAAAATAGGCTAACAGGAAGTACACTATTGAACTAGGGGCGCTGAATACCTCAAGCCTTCATAAGAATATACCCTGGTACCTGCCTTTAAAGGCTCACTGTTTAAGGGTTCTGAGTAAACATTAAAAATATGTATAAATCATACATTCCTCTCCAAAATATCAGTATACAAATTTTAAATAATATTTCATTCTTCTAAATCTTGAAAGGAATGCTTCACTAAAAAATGGTCTTATCCAAGTACAAAGTCTTTATTTCTGGGATTTTCAAAGATTGTGACCTTGAGGGGGTCAAGTTTAAGAAGCCCATAAAATAGACAAGGCACACTCTCTTTGCCACAACACTCAGAAGTTAGTTAAAAAAATTACCATAATAACAATAAGCTTGTCTTCTGGAGGATTAACAACCTAAGTTTTCAGACCAAAATTAGAGAAAAAGGAGGGCCGCAAGGAAAGCCAACATTTTGGCCCTAGCCTTCCAAGGTCAATTAAGATTCAGGACATATGAGAACTTGTACTGTAACATCCTGTAACTCAGTAGTGTCCCAAATTTTCTGATCAAGGAGATTATGGGGCCAAAGAGAAAAGTGATCATTCTCTCAGGCTTTCACAGAGAGCACATTGGTG